GGAGCCCAACTCTAGCCACGATGCCACCGCGGCTCCTCATGAAGGACTTCGGTTCGGGAAACACAGATCTGCTTAAGCGTGCAGCCTGCGAAGGCAGCCTCACCATTATCAAGTTGATTCCATTTTACAGCCACCCTCGAGCACAGAGTAGAACTGCTTCCTAAGGTTTCTGAGGCTATAAGTCTTTACCGGAACAGACAGCCTCGCCTTTCTCCCGAGGAATGACTGTGGGGCTTGAATTGCTGACCCTGTGGTTAGCAGTCCAGAACTTAACTCAGTGCGCCACCGGGAGTCCTTTCTAGAGTGGAGTCTGGTCGCCACATACCAGCTGTTGCTCCCCCCTCCCCACCCCATTATAGTACCAGGCCCTCGGGGGGGCGGGCACAAACATCTGGCAACTTGAAGCCAACTCAGTAGTACCATGGAAGAAAGGCCAGGCAACCTGCTTCTGTAAGATTACATGCTCACTGTCATAGAGTGGGGAGCCCTGGTGGCATAGTGGGTAATGTGGCCAATGTGTCTCAGAAAGCCACAGGGGCCTCTCTCCCCTGTCCTCTAGGGTCACAGGGAGTGAGTGAGCTTGAGCAATAGAGTCAATTCCAAGGAGCAGCTGGTGGGCTTGAACCGCCAGCCTTGAATTCAACAGCCCCATTCATAACCCACAGGGCTCCCAAGCAGGAACCCTGTGGAGCACACATCTACTTCGAAGCAAATGGGGTCTGCGTGAGCCAGAATTGACTCAGCTACTTTTTAATTGAATGCCAACCTCCTGTTCTGGTTGTTAAACCTAAACCAAACTCACTGCCATCACGCTGATGCTGACGCATCGCGACCCTATAGGACAGGGGAGAGCTGCCTCGGTGGTTTCTGACACTGACTTTAAAAAAATCACTTTATTGGGGGCTCTTAAAGCTCTTATCACAATCCATCCATCCATTGTGTCAAGCACATTTTTAAATATGTTACCATCATCATTTTCGAAACATTTTCTTTCTACTTGAGCCCTTGGTATCAGCTCATCACCCACCCACCCCCACTCCTTCATGAACTTTTGATCATTTATAAATTATTATTTTTGTCATGCCTTATACCAACTGCTGTCTCCCTTCACCCACTTTTCTGTTGCCTGCTCCCTGGGAGGGGGTATATGTAGATCATTGGAATCAGTTCCTCCTTTCTCCCCACCACCTGCCCCTTATCCTCCTGGTATCGCTACTCTCATTATTGCTCCTGGGGGGTTTGTTTGTCCTGAATTCCCTGTGATGTGAACTCTTATCTGTACCACTGTGCAGATAAGACCGGTTAGCTCTGGTCTAGCCGGATTTGTAAGGTAGAATTGGGCTCAAGATAGGTGGGGGCAGGGGGAGAGCATTAAGAACTAGAGGAAAGTTGTGTTTCATTGGTGCTATACTGCACCCTGTCTGGCTTGTCTCTTCCTTGTGACCCTTCTGTGAGGGAATGTCCAATTGTCTACAGATGGGCTTTGGGTCTCCACTCCCCCGCCACCCTCAGCTCCCCCTGACCCACATTCACATCAATAAGAATTTTTGTTCTGGGTTTTGATGCCTGATATCTGATCCTATAAACACCTCGTGATCACACAGGCTGGTGTGCTTCTTCCATGTGGCCTTTGTTGCTTCTCAGCTAGATGGTTACTTGTTTATCTTCTAGCCCTTAAGACCCCACACACTATATCTTTTGATAGCTGGGCACCATCAGCTTTCTTCACATTTGCTCATGCACCCATTTTGTTTTCAGTGAAGGTGAGCATCACAGAATGCCAGGCTATTAGAACAAAGTGTTCTTGTGTTTAGGAAGCACTTGAGTGGAGGCCCAATGTCCATCTGATACCTCAATACTTAACATATAAATCTATGTACAAAAATCTATTTCCTTATTGGTTTTTTTTTTAATCATTTTATTGGGGCTCATACAACTCTTATCACAATCCACACATACATCAATTGTGTAAAGCACACTTATATATTCATTGCCCTCATCATTCTCAAAACTCGCTTTCAGCTTGGGTTCCTGGAATCAGTTCTTCATTTTTCCCCTATTGTTATATAAAACTATATTGACATATGTACATACCTGCATTTAGACCCCTATAAATGTCCTTTGCCTCCTAGTTCTTTCCTCTATTTGCTTTGACTTTTCTCTTGTCCCACTATCATGTTTGGCCTTCATTCTGGTTTCGGTAATTCCTCTTGGCTACATTGCCCTTGATCAAGCCCTACCAGGCATCGTCTGCCCTCCTTGGCATCGATTTTAGATCACTTGTTGTTCCCTTGTCCCTATGTTTGTTGACAGCCCCCTCCTCCCCTCTGCCTTCCCCCCACTTGTGTCCCCCCTGGAACCGTCAGTCCTGTTGTTTTCTCCTTCGTATTGTGTATCCCACCTATCTTATCTAGATAGACATGCAGAGACAATAATAAGCACAAAAAAAACAAGACAAAGCAAAACATAACAACAAAATAAAATAAAAACAAAAACAACAACAACAAACTAACAGCAAAAAGAAGAAGAAGAACAGCCTATAAATAGTTCCAGGTCTGTCAGTTGACCTTTATGAGTGTTTCTCAGTGAAGTCTGGTGGGGTGCCATGCCCTGGCCCCAAAGTCTATTTTTTGTCTTCCTCAGGGACTTCATTGCTTTGTTGCTCTGTTGCACGCCCTTAGTGTTTTGCCCCAGTGTGTTGGAGTCAGATCTGGCACCATTCCTGCACTGTGTCTCCAGTGTTGTCCCCGTAGCGCTATAGGTTAGTGAGAGACGTCATGTCTCATGGTGGGGCTGGCCCTATGGTCCTCTCTGTGCATTGGCTGCTCTGAGCAGGAATATTGTCCTCAGGGCTTGGTGGGCCAGGATGTGTTCCACTCTCTCTCCTTCCCTCTTCATTTGTTCCTGTGTGCTCTGATCAGAAGCGCCCCTTTCTCCCATATCAAATGAGAAGAGGATGCCCTCTTCAACAAGTGGTGCTGGAAAAAAATGGTTATCTACCTGCAGAAAATAAAAGACCCTTACCTCACTCCATGCACAAGAATAAACTCAAGGTTTATTTACCACAGATCTTGAGGTAAAACCCCAAACTATTAGGGTCATCAGTGAGGGAATTGGGACAAACCTGAGAACTTTGACACAGAGAATACATAGGCTATCAGAAATAGGGAAGGACACAAACACAGAGGAGGCACAAATTGACAAGTGGGATATACTAAAGATAAAACACCTGTGTACATAGAAAGACTTTACCAAGAGAGTAATAAGAGAGTCCACAGACTGGGAAAACATCTTTAGCAATGACACATCAGGCAAAGGCCTTATTACTAAAATCTGCAATACTCTGTTAGCTTCCAAAAAGAAAAAAACTAATTGTCCCCTGAGGATGTGGGAAAAGGACCTGAACACAAGTTTCACAGGGGCAGAAATCCAAATGGCCAACAAACATATGAGAAAATATCTCTGATCTTTAGACATAAGAGAAATGCAAATTAAAACAACGAGATACCACCTAACACCCTCAAAGATAGCCCAATTCAAAAAATCAGAAGGTAACACGTGTTGGAGGGCTGTGGTGAGATAGGAACTCTCATCCACTGCTGGTGGACCTGTAGTTATGTATGGCCACTATGGATATTGATTTGGAGATATCTAAAACAGATGGAAATTGAGCTACCATATGACCCAGCAATCCCCTTATTGGGCATATACCCAGAAGAGACAAGAAACAAGCCACACCAGACTGTAACTCTCTACAGAAGTAGAGCGCTCATTGTTCTCCAGTGGAGCAGTTGAGGTTTCTGACTGCTGACAAATGGATGCCGTTTCATTTGCCACATGACCTACTGAGCCACCATGGTCATTTGGTTCTTGTTGTTAGGTGCCATCAAGTCATTTCTAACTCATATCGACCCTACGTGACAGAATAGAACTGCTTCGGATAGGATTTGGGGGTCTATAATCTTGATAAAAGCGAATCATCAAGTCTGCCCCCACCTTAGAGATGATGGCACTGGGGGAGAGTATTGGTTATGTCATGCAGGCCCTACCACGGGGCACCAGACCTTGAGGGCAGCGTAACCACATGGAGCAATGCGTGAACAGAGCGGGCTACAGGGCCAGCCCAAATCAGAGCCACACTGACCCCCTCCCTAGAAGTATGTGCTACAGAGGACAGCACTAAACCTACAGGTTGATACAATTGATGTATAGATTGTTATAAGAGCCCCCAATAAAATGATGGGGGAAAGTCTGCCCTCTTCAAATCATTGGGTAGGTTTGAACTGCCAACCTTTCTGTTAGTAGTTTAACTGTTGCACCATCAGGGTTCTTACCTACTTCCTGGAGAAGGTGAGATCCCCTTAGAAGGAAATGCACAGGTAGTCTGATGGACTTCCATGAACTGCATGGTGTTCTCGATTTGTATTATTCTTCACATTTATATACTTTAAAACAAACAAACAAACAAACCAAACTCACTGCCATCAAGCCAATGTCTACTTGTAAAAACCCTATAGAACAGGGTAGAAGTGCCCCTGTGGGTTTCCGAGGCTGTAACTCTTGACAGGAGTAGAAAGCTTCTTTTTTCTCCAATGGACAATGGAGCAGCCGGTGGTTTCAAACTGCCTACCTTGTGGTTAACAACCCCATGCATCCAAGCCCCCTTACTGTGGAGCTGATTCTCACTTACAGCAACCCTGTCTGACAGAGTAGAACTGCTCCCTGGGGTTTCGGAGGCTGTCCACCTTTAAGGGAACAGATGGTCACCAGTCCCCCAGAGTGGAACTGCCAACCTGTGATTAACAGGTTAGCCCAGCATCACCAGAGAAGTGTGGGAAAGGGGTCTTGGCAATCATAGGAGGCCCTTAAGGCATGCATTTGTTCTGAAGACCCAGGAGACAATGTCTTGGCCTTAGAAGTTTTATTTGCGGGGGTGGGGTGGGGTGGGGAGATGAAGTCTGAGGAAGGGGTGAGGCATGAGGGTAGAGTGGCATGGGGCTTCACTTGGACACCTTGGGCACTAGGGCGGGGCTGCTGCCCTTCTCCGGGTGCCACTGCCTGTCTCACAGGCAGCACATGGCTTGCATCTGTGGCTGGAAGGCCCCCTACTCATTCCAGTGCCAGAAGTGCCCATGCTCCAGAAGGGACTAGTACCCACATTAGCCCAGATACTGATAGGCAACCCAGCTGGGGGGAGGGGCAAAGAACAGGAGCTGGAGACCCCGCCCAGTTAGTTCTCACCTCTCCTATGGTCCTGGCTCCACCCTTCCCCAGTGAGGTGCAGGCTTGAGCCCCCAGAACTCTCCTTGATGGCCCTTCTCGCTGTCCAAGAAGGATGCTATATACCCCATGGGTTCCCAGAAGAACCAGGGCATCTGTCTTTTGCAGAAACACCACCAGAATGTTCTTCGAAGTGAAGATGACAAGGCTTGGTCTTGCTCACTTTGCACATGCCATCAGCCTGATGCTGCTACGAAAGACATCCTGTCTGCTAGAGAACACAATTGGGAGAACCCTCCCCCATCCCAAACAGACCAAAAATGGTGGCTGAGCTGCCAACACTGTGTTCTGCTGTACATTAAAATGGCTCTGAGCCAGAGCGAATCCGATGAACAGCAGACACCAGCGATCGGTAGCAACCCTGGGCAATGGCTTAATGTCTGGCAAACCTCAGTTTCCACCTCTGGAAACACCTTAGGAAGGTGCTGTGGGGGCCAAATGGGAAAATAAATGGGGTTACTTTAAGGACTAGGGTGCACGTGGCCCAAGCCGTGGTACTTTCAACTACCTTATCTGCATGTGAAAGTTGGACATGGACTAATGAAGCCCAAAGGAGAATCGCTGCCTTTGAACTACGGTGCAGGCAAACAATATTGCAAGTACCACAGACTACCAAAAGGACCAGCATCTGCCTGGGAAGAAATACAGCCTTTCGAGGCCAGGATGGTGAGACTTGGCCTCACATACTTGGACGTGTTGTCGGGAGAGACCAGTCCCTGGAGAAGGACATCGTGCTTCCTTAGAGAAGTGCCGAAGAGGAAGGCCCTCCAGGGTGGCCTGACACAGTGGCTGCATCGGTGAGCGCAAACCTCAGCGCGATTGTGAGGCTGGCGCAGGACTGGGCGTCCCCTCCGCTGTCCATGGCACCGACCAGCCGCATCCACACAAAGGGCTTGCTAGTGCGCAGAGAGTGATGGGCTGGGAAGAACCTCCGTGGACAAGAAGCCAGGGCTGTGGGCAGAGGCAGGAAAGGGAGAGGAGCATTGTGCAAGGGCATTTGCATGAGGCGGTTGGGAGGGCATGCTAGGGTATCAGACGCACTGGGGACTGAATCGCAACACGACCTTTGACCAGCTGGAGGGGGGGTGGGACTGTGTAGTTGCCTTATAAGAGCTTCCGTTTTCTGACTATGAAATACAGACAGGAACTGGAAACACAGGGAATCCAGGGCAAATGATTCCTTCAGGACGAGTGGTGTGAGTGGCGATACTGGGAGGGTGGAGGGAAGGTGGGTTGGAAAGGGGGAACCGATCACAAGGATCTACATGTGACCTCCTCCCTGGGGGATGGACAACAGAAAAGTGGGTGAAGGGAGATGTCAGACAGAGCAAGATATGACAAAATAATAATTTATAAATTATCAAGGGCTCATGAGGGAGGGGGGAGCGGAGAGGGAGGGGGAAAATGAGGAGCTGATGCCACGGGCTTAAGTGGAGCCCAAATGTTTTGAGAATGATGAGGGCAATGAACGTACAAATGTGCTTTACACAATTGATGTATGTATGGATTGTGATAAGCGTTGTATGAGCCCCTAATGAAATGATTTTTGTAAATGGGATGAGATGATAATGCCGATAGTTCCTTCATTCATCGGTGACGAACAACTCGAAGTGGTCCACACGTGCTTGGTACCGAATAAGCACGCGGAGCCATGGGTTCAAGTGGGTCCCAGTCCATTGTTAGCCTGTGGGGAAGGTAGACCTGCCCCATCTGGTTTTGAAGGCAGCCATGCTCGTGGGAGCAGACTGCTATGTCTTGCCTCCCAATGGCATGCCATGCCCCGACGTGTTCATGGCTATTGCTGCTTTCAACAGTCAGCGAGTCGGTTCTGACGCAGAGCGACCCTCTCTGTGTCCCGCACAACGAAACCCTGGCCGGCTCTGTGCCCGCTGCCCAGCCCATTGCTCTGTTTGAGCCAGGATGCCCCTTCCTCTCCTGCAGGCGGCTCCTCTTTTCCCTGCCCCTCTACTTCACCCAACAGGGTTTCCTCCTCCAGGGACGGGGCCCTCCTGCTAACAGGGCGAGGTGCGTGAGACCCAGTCCTGCCAGCCTCCTTCTGAAGAATGTGCTGGCAGCACCTGCCCTGACACACACTCCTGCTCCTTCTTCGGGCAGGGTCAGTGTTCTTTGCCAGCACCACGATAGCCAGGGAATCAAGTCTTCTCTGGCTGTTTGTTAGAATGATTGGTTTCTAACTTGTGTTATCACTGGGAGGGTCCTTCCCAGCCGTCTCTCAGGACCCACCCACTTCCAGCACCTGTTCTCAAGCTCAGGCTTCTGGGACCTGCCCCGCTGCCCCTGGCCCAGGACCCAGAAACCCTCCCTTCATCTAGGTCACAGGAATGCCTGCTGGGACTGTCTCTCACCCTCTCACAGGTAAGCCCCTTGCAGGCAGGCAGGGTGCCTTCCTCATCTCTGCCTACCCCGCCCAGCACCAGACTGACAGGCCCAATTGAGATGGATGGCTGGGATGCCTTCGGAATCGATTTCAGGGAAGAAAGGGAAGAGAAAAAGTCCAGAGCCCAGACGGGTTTCCGGAGCTCAGAAAGAGACCTGGGTGGGGAGATGGTGGCTGTATCCTTGGTGGCAGGAGGCCAGAGGTAGCTGGTGGCAGGAGGCTGGGTGAGATGACCTCCTCTGGGTAGGCAGCCCTCTGCTCTGTGACCTCTTGGAGGTGGGGTTCTGGGGTTTGGGAATTGAGAGGGGAAAGCTCAGGGACTCTGGTCGACCCTTTGCACTGGTGCTAACACCGAGATGTAGAGAGGGGAGCGGGGCCCGCCCAGGTACCACAGGGCCTGACCCTTTCTGCTGATGGCCTTTGACCTGGACTCCCCTGAATACTCTCGGTCCCTGAACACATCTAGAAGCTTCCATTGCACCAACTCCAGCCTGTTGCCCAACTATGCTCCCAAGCCCGCCTGGGTACTTCTTCCACTCACCCTCCCCTCTCAGGATGTGAGCGCGTACTAATGGATCACCAGCCTGACTCTGAGCCCCTCGGGGATCTTGCTCTGTGGGAGTCCCTGGCATATCCTCCTGCTCTGGGCCTGCCCTTTACCCACACCTCTGACGGGCTACCCCACGATGCCACAGCCTCCAGACTGCCTGTGCTTGAAGCGTGGGGTGAGGGCAAGACCCTAGGGATGCTTATGTGCTCCTGGAAACCCGCACACTGCCCACTCGGTCCCGGAAGCCATAGACTCAGAGACTGGGCACGTCATCCTCCTGGACCTCTATGGTGCTGCCCTTGAAATCGGCACCCTCAAACAGACAGATCTTGTGCTCCTGGGAGGGAGATGGAGGATCAGACCTGCCTGCACCAACATGGGGTGGGAGGGGACATGCTTAGATCTCTTTCTGGTGGGAAGAGAGGTTGGAAGAGAGGCAGCTAGGTGTGGCCCAACCAACTGCGTACTGTCCTGGAATCTCAACTAGCTGTCTCAGCACGGTCCCCTCCTCTGGGGACAGAGGCACAGCAATCTACCTCAGGGAGCTCTGGTGGCTCAATAGTTAAGCGCTCCGTTGCAAAGTGCATGTCATTGGTTCGGATCCACCCGCAGCTCCTGGAGAGTGGGGGTGGGAAGGACACAGCATGCTGTTCGGTTCGAGATGGTAGCCCAGGACCCCTTTGGAGCCCGTCTACTCTGTCCTATGGGGTTGTGAGGAGTCACAAAAGGCTCTCCTGGCACAATGGTTAAGCACTTGGCTGCTCACCGGGAAGTTGGTGGTTCTAAGCCACCAGCCTCTTTGCAGGGGCAGCTCTACTCTGCCCTGCAGGGTGGCTGTGAGTTGTAACGGACTGTGCAGCCACGGGCTATGCGTTCGGATGAAGCTGGCTTCCCTAACGCCACGGAGGACACGCTCCGCTCCCTAGGGGTGTCCGAGTGCTCCAGACAAGGCATTCGTGTGCTTTTTCTTATGGTCAAAGGCAGGACCAGAGAGGTCAAGGCTCTTGTCTCACATCGCACAGTGTGTCTCTTATGACCTGGGTGACCGTGAGGGATTGAGCCTGGGAGGCACGGATCTTGATTCGAATTCTGCTTCAGACCCTGGGCATTTCAGCTCCCCCCTCTGAGCCCGAGTTTGCTCATCTGTGGGGTGGGGACATGCTGGCCTCACAGGGCCCAGCACTTGCCACACTCCCTGGTTACCATTCCCTCCTGCGACCTCCAACCCATATCCTCACTCACTGAGGTCCGAGGACCTGGCGCTGCCCAGCCCCGCTGGTCCCCACAGCTCTGGGCCAGAACCACTCTCGCCATCCTGACTGGCCAGAAGGACATCAGCCTGTTGCGAGCGGTGGCTGCGGGTACGCTCCTTTCTCCAGGACAAACGTCTCTCCTCAGAAGTTGGACAGTTCAAAGGCCACCCAACTGGACATAAGAGGGACCATGGAGGTGGCGACCGAGCGGAGAAATGCCATCAGTTGAAGCCACTTCTTCCTGCCTTCCCACCTCCCTGTTGAAGGCTCCCAGGCCAGTGGGGGTGTCCAAAGGCGGTCTGCACTCCCATGGGTCTGCCTCTTGGCCTTGCCACGTCCCGGCAGTGTGATCACAGCATGTGCATTCCCTCTCTGAGCCTGTTCCTCACCTACACTGCTCTGCCCACCGAAGCTGTGAAATCAGAGGCCAAGAGGCGGCGCCATCAGAGGATCGTGACCCCCCACCCCTACCCCGTGGGCTCTGCAGAGGCCGGGGCGTTGCTGGGACGCTGAATGGGGAGGGGCTGGTTCCGTGCCCCTTCCAGACTAGAACAGCCCAGCATGAGAATGAGGGCGGGCCAGGCTCCTTGGAGCAGGATCTAGGGAAGATCACACTGACGGCAGCGACCTGAAAGATGGGGTGGGAAGCACAGGGGCCCTGGAGTTTCAGACAAGGGTGGCAGCATCATGTAGAAAAGGATCGTGAACATGAGAAACCCAATCAGTGCCACTGAAATATGCATGTAGGCATCGTTAGTGGACCCTTGGCTCTGAGTCTTCACTGAGAAAATGGCAGGCAAGGTTAGCTCCGAGAAGACGCTCAGTGATGCGTGTGGAAGGGGACGATGGTATCCCCTACCTGTCAGATACCTGTGAGAACTCAATGTGCCACTGCACAGAGAGGGTGCCGTTCTCTACAAGGACGAATGAGAGCGCTGAATGGGAACTTTCTCTGGCTTTCTCAGGGCCATCTGCTTTGGGCTGGGGGCGTGAGCTTGTGTTACAAAGAGACCAGGGCAGCTGGGGAGAGGGGAGGAGGGGTCTGAAGCCATGGATGAGAAGACTGCCACTAAGGGACGCCTTGATCTTTGCTCAAGGTGTATCCAAGAGCTCTCAAGGCACAGGAGCACCGGCATCATCTCCCCGAAGGCTGTGGGGACCTTCTCCTACTCAGAGTAGATGAATGCAGAGCAGAATCGCAGAATCTCACAGAATCCAGACTTTCTGGAGCCACTGAGGCGGGATACGTCCTCCAAAGGACTGTGTCGACATCACCTTTCATGTTAAGCCTTCAACCAGAACCGTTCC